CCAGTGGCAAAGTCCACATGCGTCCCCCGCCCATTTCGGCACACCCCTCACACGTTTCGTGGCGCCATAGGGAGCTACCCCCTCCGTCCTCCCACCCGCCTTGCGGTACTCACACTTTGATATGGTTGGGCCCTTCACCAAAATAATTTTCACAACGTGTCTGCCCAGAGGTCTGGACCCCTTCCCGGGGACCGGCTCTTCACTCGGAATCGTTGTCCGACGACACCCAGAGCCCCGCGAAGGCCCCCGGAAGTCGAAAACGGCCCCCGAAGCCTTCCGTCGTGGCTTCTCACGGCGCGAGGACGTCTGCGCCGCGCCACCCACCCTTCCAGTCCGCGCCGCCACGCCCCGGTGCTCTTTGGAGCAGCCGCCCCCGCAGCGACCCCCCCCCTCCTCCAGACATCCTCCGGATTATGGCACTGTCGAGCCGCGGCCCCAGAGCTCCCGCCGGCGCTTCCCATGGGGGTAGTCCTCTGTCCTGGCTCCACCGCGGGTGATCCTCCGAAGGCCGAACACGCCTCCCCCAAGGGCCGGCAGCAATCCACAGCGCCCAGATGGAACAACAAACCGCATCGTCGGAGCCACGGCCAAGACATCACGACTGGAGCACTGTACCCCATCTTTCTGCTATTTGCGAGCCGCATCGACCTGCGAGGGTCCCGGTCCCGCAACTGGGCGAAAAGCCCGTTGTGCCAAAGTTGCAACGCCCGGACCTCAGGGGATGTCTGGGTCGTGCTGCCCACCCTTTTGGATGGGGTTGTAGGATCGCGCCGCATGTTAATGCATCGCCGATTCATCGGCGATGCATCCGCGACGCCGTTTCGATGCATCGGCGCCGTCAGCGTGGAGAAGATCGGGCTCCACACCGAGCCGCATCGGCGATGCATCGCCGACGCGGCACGATCCTGCGACCCCACTTGCGTCGGCCCCAGCCTGGGAGGCCTGGACCTTTGTGCCCGCCGCCCCGCCTGGGTGCCCCCCGGTGCCGCCGACATCTCCACTGCAGAGGGGCTCCTGCCTGAGGGGCAACGTAAGGGGGGGGGGGGGGGGCAGCTCAGGGGGGGAAACATTGACATGGAATTGGCGATACATCGCCGCTAGATCGGCGACATGCCCCGCATAGCAACCTTACACTTTCCTGGGCGGAGTGGGGCCATCGGGCCTCTATCGGCGATCAATGGCCGATTGAGAGGGTGGAGGCGTCCCCATTGAGCCTATCCCCAGATTGCTTTCAAATCATAACCTCGGGTCCCAGGTGGCCGTTGGGGACAATCCGGGCACTCCCAGAACGCTCTCGGCGAGGCGCAGCTGCTGGAGAGCACTCCCAGGCTGGAAAGCCGCATAAAACCGACGCAACCGCCCGAAAACCTCCAACCCCGAATCCCCAAACCTCGAACCTCACCCTTGCCATCACTCGGACGTCCATTCCTTGTGCATTGTTTGGTTTCGTGCGTATTTTTTCGCAAGATGGCCCAGGATGCTCCTGAATGGTCCCCGCCAAGAAAGAGTGCACACGTCCGAGCGATGCCAAGCCCTCGTAAAGTTGCCCCTGGCTGCCGAGCTCGGCGCCCCGCGCGGGGCCCAGCAGCAGCCCCTGCTGAGCATCGTTGAACCGATCCCTGTCCCCACCGTCGCGTGGCCTGGGCCCCACTGGCAAATTTCATACCTGGATGGGGCTATACAGCCGAACATACGATCAAGAAAATTATCATGTAAGAAACCTGGGGCAACTTCCAAGACATTTCTTAAACTAAACCTGGACTAACATCTGTTGTGAACGCTGGAAGGGGCGAACGGTTTCAAGAAACCGGGCCAGCTTTCTGGCAAGTTGGTTAAGAAACGCTGGCCCAGCTTTTTGTTCGAGGGCGCGCCGCTGGATGCTCAAAAAGGAAAAGGGGGCTCGGACCCCCCCCTCACTTTCCCCGGTCCGTCGTCGGGACCCCCCCCCTTTCCGGGTCCGTCGTCGGGAAATCCCCCCCCTTTCCCGGTCCGTCGTCGACGACGCCCCCCCCCTTTGAAAGGTGGAGGGGTCCGGACCCCCCCCTCCCCTTTGGATTCAAAAGTCGGACCCCCCCCCGCCCCCCTTTCGCCACGCCGCCCGCTGGCTCCACCAGAGCCCTACCCCTACCACCCCTACCCGTAATCCTGAAGCCCTACCCTCATCACAAACCCTAATCCTAATCCAATCACCACACAAAACTCACTACTCACCACTAACTACTCGCTACCCACTATTCACTACTCACTAATCACGAAACACTACTCACTACTTACTACTTACTACTCACTACTCCCTACTCTCTACCCGCTACTAACTGTTCACTACTCACTACTCGTAACTCAATACTCAATACTCGCTAATCCCTACTCAGTGCTGGCAATTCACTACTCTCTATTCGCAACTCGCAAAGCACTACTCACTACCCGCAACTCACTATTCACTCCTCCCTACTCCCTGCTCAATACTCACTACGCACGACTGACTACACAGTGTTCACTACTCACTACTCGTTGCGCACTACTCACTGCCCACTACTCACTTCTAAAGATTTATTGCGCACTAGTCACTACACGCTACGAACTACTCACTTATCACTACACACTGATCACTACCCTCTATTTACTCTTGACTGATCACTGCTCACTAATTCCTACCTGCTACTCACTACTCACTACGCACTACTTACGACTCACTACTCACCACCTACCCACTACTCACTACCCACTGCCCACTACGCATTACTCATCATTCACTACCCACTATTCACTACCCACAACCCAATACCCACGACTGACTACCCACCATTCTACTACCAACTACTGACCACTCCCTACTCATTACTCATTACTCCCTACTCACTACTCACGACTCACTACTCGCTATTCGTTATTCGCTACTCCCTACTCCCTACACACTACACACTACTCAATACCCTCACTACTCACTATATTATTACTCACTACTCGCTTCTCCCCACTCACTACTCACTACTCAATACTCACCGCCCACCATTACTCACTACTCACGACTCACTAACTGCCCCTTGCGTGAAAGGCCCTCTCTCTGGCCGCCTGTCTGGCGCAAATGGGGAGGGGGAGTTCCGAAATCGTCTCCCCCCCCTTTCCAGCGCGGGGGGGGGGGGGAAGGGAGGGGGTCCGAAAATCTCACCCCCCTTTGAAGGGTGGGGGGAGGGGGACTCTGCGAGCACCCCCCCCGTTTTCAATGACTGGGGCACCCAGAGCCGCGCTTTAGTTTTTGTTGGGGGAGGTTTCTTAATCTGATGATCGGCTGAAGTCTGCTACCTTGGGGTTTCGAGGGGCCTGTGCCCAACTGGGGATGTGGGATGGTGGAGCTGAGACACCATGGCCTGGTGGGGATGCGGATAGGTTGCCTTGTCATCGCTCGGACGTCCATTCCCCGTACATTGCTTGGGTTCGAGCGTACATTTTCTCAGTCTGGTCCAAGATGCTCAAAGATGGTTCAGATTTCATGGGACTGGTCTCAGAGACCCGACGACGCGAAAGAACTGCAACATAGTGAACAAATCGCGCCCAGAACCCTAGACCCCATCGTTCTGCGTCAATCTCCGGAGCCGGATCGGTCTGCGAGGGTCCCGGACCCGAACTGAGGCGAAAACGCCTGGCTCGAGAAAACTGAGATGCCAGGATCTCGAGGGCTTCGCCGAGAAGGCCGCACGCGTCCCAGCGATGCCAAGTGCAGCAGCACTGACCCGCGGCGGGCAGCCAGCGCCGCGCAGCGCCGCCGCCATGGCCGCCGCGCCCCGCGGCGCGCCCCGCGGCAGCGCCGCGGCGGTGAGCCCGGCCGCCAGCAGCACGCCGCCGCGGCGGCGGGCCCGGCGCCTTGTGGCGGGGGCGGCGGCGAGGTCCTCCCTCCCTCCCTCCTCCCTCCCTCCGTGTTCCTCCTCCCCCCCCCGCCTCCCTCCTCTCCTCCCTCCCCCCTCCTCCTCCCTCCCTCCTCCCTGCTCTTCCTCCCTCCTCCCTCTTCCCTACTCCTCCCTCCTCCCCCACGTCCTCCTCCTCCCTCTTTCCTCTTCACTCCCTCCCTCCCTCCTCCCTCCTCCCTCCTCTCTCCCCACCTCCCTCCTACCTCCTCCTCCTCCTCCTTCTCCTCCTCCTCCTCCTCCTCCCTCCTCCTCCTCATCGTCCTTCTTCCTCCTCCGCCTTCCTGCCTCCTCCTCCTCATCCTTCTCCCTCCTCGTCCTCTTCCTCCCCGATGGGGTCCGAGTAGCTGGGGTCAAATGGTCGCGCCGCATCGATGATGCATCGGCGACGTCGGCGATGCATCGGCGCCGTCGGCGAGAAAATCGGGCTCCACATTCAGACGCATCGGCGAAGCATCGGCGATGCAGCGCGACCCTCCGACCCCCTCTACTCGAACCCCCTCTGGGAGGCCTGGAATGGTGTCGGCGGCGAGCCATCAATGCCTTTGGAGAAGGCGCGGAACACTTTTCAGAAGGCGCGAGGGCTTCTGAGAAGTTCCGCGCCCTTCTGAGAAGGCCTGTCCCCTCTCACTCCCCCCGGGCTCGCCGCCGATGGAGGGGACGCCTCTTCATCATACGAACGACCCTCTTGTATCAGCCGGCACCTTGGGGTTCATCGGCGTGTGATACGCTTCCCCCTCCCCAACCCCCTCCCCCGGGAGCCCGGTCTGGTCGATTTGGAAGGGGGGCTTCCCCCAGGGCCTGGCCGAACGCGCCATATAGGGGACAGAAGACCCCAAAACGGGCCAAGAGGGCCCTAAGAGGCCCCTCGGACGGTCCAAGAGGGTCACGAGTCGCCGAAATCCCAAACCCCCACGCTGGCCTCCAGACGGCCTAAGAGGCCTCCGAGACGCCCCGACAAGCCCCCAAGATGTATCCCAAGAGGGCCTCGAGAATCAAACATCGTCCCATCCCCTCTGAAAGAACATGCGCTTTTCGGTCACTCGCCTCTTGGGCGTTCACAACGTCCACGACGGCCACAAAAGGCCTGCAAGATCGCTCCAAGACGGGCGAAGAGGCCCACAAGAAGGCTGAAACACGACGCAAAAGGGCCCCAAGACGTCCCAAGAAGCCCCCAAGACGACCCAGGAGGGCCCCAGAACCGCCCCAAGGCGGGGCCCGGAGGGGAGACCCGAACGGACACTTCGAGCCTTCGACCCGAAGATGCCTTCCTCTTGCCCAAAGCCCCTAACAAGCCTTCAAGGAGCCGAAACAAAAAAACCCAAGAGGCCCCCAGGAGGCCCCCAAGAGATTGAAAAACTGCCTCCAAAACGCCCCCGAGACGCCTCGTCCGAGACCCATCAGCCATCCGAAAGGCCTCAGACCCGCAACCTGGGTACGGTGGCGGGATGTGCCGAAGGCCATTCGATAATCGTTCGTCTGGTGTTATGGCAGATGCCCGGCGTTTGTCTACGTGGGTTCTCGCCGGTCCCCCAAGTGTGAACGGCGAGCGCTGCGAGCGTCAGCCGCAGAACACACTAGTGGAGGTGCGGGCCGTGCCGCCATTGCCGGGGGCCCCGGGGGAATCCTTTGCGAACGCGCGGTGGCCTGTCCAAGAAAGCCCCGATACGCCCCAAATCTCGCTCCACGACGCTAACGAGGGCTCCAAAACGGCCCCTAAAGCTCCGAAAACATTCGACGAGAGCCCCAAACAGCTTCCAAAAAGGACCTCCAGAAGCCAATACCGTCAATGTCCCACGGGTTTTGAACGTGTTTCGGGTTCCCACCTTTTTTGCTAGCAGACGCTTCTTTCAGTTCAGGGGGCTCCCAACGATCCCCCAAGACGGCCCTAGAGGCCTCAAAGTTGGCACGTAAACGGCCCAAGAGGGCCCCCACACAGCCCCAACGAGTGCCTGAGAGGCCTTCGACTTGGCCTTAAAGTGCCCCAGTTGCAAAACATTGCATTCTTGTACGTTGCAAAGCAGCCCCCCTTAATCCCCCCCCCCAGGGCCGCCGCCTGGGTGCCGACCCATTTCCACATCTAATGCAAAAACTATCCAAAACCTGTAGGAAATCTATGATTTCGGCACCTTGGGCCCTTGAGGGGCCAAGACGGTTTCAAGACGGCTCAAGATGCTTTCAACACGGCTCAAGACAGCCCAAGATGGCCTCAGGAGGGCCCTTGAAGCCCCCATGATGACCCAAGGGGGCTCCAAAAGGATGCTCAAAAGCGCCTCCGGAAGCCAAAAATATGGATTTGTGCGTTGGTTTTCGTTGATTTTTCGCGCTTGCGCCTTTTTTGCTCTCGGGGGGCCATGGCGGCCCAAACTGCTGCCAAAATGGCACCAAAACGGCCCACGACGCTCCCAAGAGGGCCTCCATACGGCCCACGACAGCCCCAATATTGCCGCAAAAGGCCCCCAAGACGGTCCCCAAGGCCCCCCGAGAGCCCCCCAAAACGGCCACCGCAGAGGCCAGACGGCGCAAAAGCGCTCCGAGATAACCCAAAAGACGCCCCAAGAGGCCCCAAAGAAGGCCCAAAGAGGGCCTCAGAGGCGCCCAAGACACCCCAGTAGGCCCGACGAAGACTTTACTGCGCGTGCTCGAGAGAATCTGGTTCTTCTGCCTTCGTAGAAATGCGCGGGAACGCTGCCAAATCAGCAGTTTTTTTTAAGGAGCGCCAGACTATAACATTTCTGACACGCCATCAACATGCAACGCATCCAATGTATCCACTGATTGCGCAATTGCTACAGATCGTATTGTGTTACATTCGTATGTTTCCTCCCTTCACCCCCCCCGAGGCCACCCCACATCCACCGACCCAAGAAGGCGGACCTCTTCTGGACCCATATAAGTAACAAACAATGAAAATCAATGATTTGGGCCTCCTTGGCCTGTTGTGGGTCTAAGAGGCCGTGAAGACGGCTCAAGATGGCCTCAATACAAGCGAAGACGGCCCCAAGACGGTCCAAGATGGCCCCAAGAGGACCAACAAAGCACCCAATACGGCCTTAAGAGGACCTCCGAAAACGCCTCCAGAGGCAAAAACCATCAATATTCCGGTTTTGAAGAACCTTACTTAGCGTTTTCGCCTTTGTCGATTCTCAGAGGCCCATGACGGCCGAAGCAGCCTCCAAAATGGCTCCAAGACGGCCGAAGCAGCACTCAGACGGCCTCCGTGACGGCCCAAGCGGGCCCTAAGACGGCTCAGTTCAAGAGGACCCCAAGAAACCCCCGGAACGGCAGCGAGGGGCCCCCAGGACGGCCTCCGAATGGGCCACACGCAGCACGAGCGCCCCAAGATGGCCCAAGACGCCCCCAAGAGGCTCCAAGAAGCCCCCGCCCAAGACACCTCCAAGAGGACACAAGGAAGCTCCCAGGAGGCCCCGCAACGACTGGACTGTACGTGGTCCGGACGTGCACCCCGCGAAGCGAGAGGAATCCACGTCCGGAAGTGACGTGCTGACCAACAGCGTTTTCAGCGGAGGCGATAATGCAGCGTATCCAATGTATCCAATTATTGCCAAATCGCCACATACTGCATTTCTTTGCAATATTATGTCTCCCCCCTAACCCCCCCTTGAGTCGCGCCACAGCGCCGCACCAAAGGTGGCGGCCGTCTTTCTGGGGCCTCAAACCTACAAAAACTTATGGAAAATCAGTTACTTCAACCTCTTGGGCTTCTTGGGACTCCAAGAGGGCCTCAAGATGGCCCAAGATGGCCCCAAGACGGCCCCAAGACTGTTCAAGATGGTCCCCAGAGGGTCCATGAGACCCCTAAAACGGCCCAAGAGGGCCCCAAGAGGACCCCAAAGAGCGCCTCCAGCAGCCAAAATCATTGATTTTCCGCTGGTTTTTGAAAGATTATCGCGTTCTCGCCTCTTTCGGCTCTCAGAGGACCATGACGGCCCAAGCAGCCTCCAGGAAGACCCCAAGACGGCCAAAGAGGCCCCCCAAAGGGGCCCCAGGATTGCTCAAAAAGGCCCCGAGACGGCCAAAAGAGGCCCCCAAGACGGTCCAAGGGGCCCCCAAGACGGCCCAAGAGGACTCCAAGAGAGCCCTCAGGTGGCCGCGGGAGGCCTCCAAGATGGCCTCCGAAAGGCGCCAAACTGCGCAAGAGCGCCCCGAGCCGGCGTAAGACGTCAACAAGAAGCCCCAGGAAGCCCCAAAGCGGCCCCAATGGCGCTCCAAGAAGCCCCCACGAGGCTTTCAAGAGGCTCCCAAGAGCCCCCCATGAGGCCGCCCAGAAGCCCTGGGGATTGCAGGACGGAGTGGCACGCACGCGCGGCAGCCGAGCAGGTCACGCCAACCAACGTCCACACCTTCCACATGTGAGCACTTTTCCACAGCGGCGATTACCAGTCTGGACCGGCTGCGCGACGCTAAATCTGTCCGCCAGCAAGCGGGGCAGAGCAAGTCTGCATTGTCACGCTGGGAGCTGTGCGCCGCTTCTCGCATAAACGCTGCCGAGCATCGCGTGCTTTTTAAACCCCGGCCCAGAGGACCATGACGGCCCAAGCAGCCTCCAAAATGGCTCCAAGACGGCCCAAAAAACACTCAAAAGGCCTCCATGACGGCTCCAGCGGGCCCTAAGACGGCCCAGTTCAAGAGGACCCCAAGAAAGCCCCAAAATGGCTGTGAGAGGCCCCCAGACTGGCCTCCGAATGGGCCTGACGCCACAAGAACGCCCCAAGACGGCCCAAAACGCCCCCAAGAGGCTCCAAAGAAGCCCAGTGCAGACGAGGTCCCAAGAAGCCCCCAAGACACCTCCAAGAGGCCACAAAGAAGCTCCCAAAAGGCCTCGCAAAGACTGGACTGTACGTGCTCCGGACGTGCACCCCGCGAAACGAAAGGAATCCACGTCCAGAAGTGGCA